CTGCCTTCCTGGGCCACAGCAGAGAGCTGGACTTGAAGAGGAGCAACCGGGACAGAATCCAGCTCCCCAACTGGGACTAGAACCCGGGGTGCTGGCGCTGCAAGGCAGAGGATTAGCCTAGTGAGCCATGAGCCGCGGCACCGGCCGAGGATTCAGTCTTTAACCCTAATATGGGCTATGGGCTATGGGCATCCCAAGCAGTGACTTTATTGCTTTATTGCCAAATGCCTGTCCCAAAATGCCTGTCCCAAGGATGCTTTTCATGGTGGGCTGTGGGAACTATTTTACTGAAATGACAATTATTTAAAATTGAGTTTCATGCTATGCTTGAATCCATTCATTCAAATTAGGTCTGAAATGGGTTGACATTGTAGTGTAGCAGGTATAGCCACCGCCTGCAATGCTGGCATTCCATATGTGTTTCTGTTTGAGTCCTGGCTGCTCCACTTCTGATTGGGCTCCCTGCTAATGTGCCTGGGAAAGCAGCAGTAGATAGCCCAAGTACTTGGGCCTCTGCCACCCATGAGGGAGAACTGGATGGAGTTCTAGCCACCTGGCTTTGGCCTGGCCCAACCCTGGCCATTGGCAGCCATCTGGGGATTGAACTGGCTGATGGAAGATGTCTCTGTTTCTGTCTTTCCCTCTCTTTGTGACTTTGATTTTCAAATATAAATCTTTGAAAACAAATTAGATTCTAAAGGATCATATCAACTATAAAATGGATATAGGATATATATATATCAGGAAATGCAGTCATAAGGATTTCAGTAAAATTTTTCTTTTACTATTTATCTCACACCACTAATGTGTATTGATGTATCATTTATTTAAGATTACAAGTGTTGGCTTCACTACAAAGGATTAATATATGATTGTCTTCACATAAGGAAATGCATTCTTATGACAGTTAAGTATATTTAAAAACACCATTTTGAAATCTTTCCTGAATTGCGAAATTTCTTTTGATAGAAACAAGATCAAGATAAGTTATTTTTATTCACATATTATGTCAAGCATTTGCCAGGTTGTATGAAAATGTCTTGCTGTTAATTACTACTAGTCTGACTGAAGTAATTTCTCCTTTAATTATTGCTTCTTTCCCAGAAGAAACTATGAAGGAGTACAAATGTGTTGGTTTGTTAGCCAGTAGGGTAATACCTCTATTTAAATTTCATTATTAAATATCCTAATTTAGCATGTGAGTTTAAATGATAATTTAAAAGGTGGGATTTATTTTAAAAATGTATATTCTAATAATTTAAACACATTTCTCCCTAATCAGAATCCTTTCCTTTCATCTTTCCATTTTATGCATCATGTATATTGCAGCTAGAAGAATCTCACAGAGCAGTTTGGGTCATCATCACCATCACTACTCTTGTTCAATGCTTGTTCTCTGTTGTATCTCATTTAATTTTGGCAACATTCCATTTTAATCAAAGCAAACTAAGCTTCAGTACAGTATTGTTACTTGTGCATCGTCCAATCTCACCCCTTCACTTCAAGGCTCAGGACCTCCAGTCTTCCGTCCTGAGTCCTGTAATCATTTCTGTTCTTGAACCAAGGAAATTTTGTGATGATCTTGATGAATGTTTGTTGTTGCCTGCTCTTAAAAGTAAAGCAAAGCAAAGCAAAACAAAAATATTGCAACACCAAATATTTATATTTGTCTTAATTCATAATTTTAACACATTAAACGTTTTATAATTCGTACTCCATGAACTTCACCTACTACCAGGATTTGGGAATTACCCAGCCAAAATAAAATCCCTTACTGTTTTTCTGTTTTTTTTTTTTTTTTTTTTTTAACCACTGGTGTAGTCATTAACTCCTACAGGTTATTGAATCTTTGAAATTAGTGATGTATAATTGAGATAACAGAAAGAGCATGTAACTACAGCCTTTTAAATATTTCACTTTTTTTAAAAATTTTTTTTAGATTTATTTATTTATTTGACAGAGTTATAGACAGTGTGAGAGAGAGACAGAGAGAAAGCTCTTCCTTCCGTTGGTTCACTCCCCAATGGCCGCCATGGCTGGGGCTGCACTGATCTGAAGCCAGGAGCCAGGTGCTTCTCCCAGTCTCCCATGGGGTGCAGGGCCCAAGGACCTGGGCCATCCTCCACTGCACTCTTGGGCCACAGCAGAGAGCTGGACTGGAAGAGGAGCAACCGGGACAGAATCCGGTGCCCATATGGGATGCTGGCGCCACAGGCGGAGGATTAGCCTAGTGCTCCATGGCGCCGGCCCCAATGTTTCACTTCTGATCCAAAACATTCATATATTCCACCCTGTTATGTGTGGCATCTCTCTTAAGTGTTCTTTCCAAAGATGTGGCTTTCCTCCAAATACTGTGCAGGAATTCGAAGTTGTTCTTTTCACAGTTCACAGCAAGACCACTATCTCAGTGTCCCCACTCCTGCTGCCTCAGGAAGCATGAAAGCTTAGGGAGAATTTTAATTAAATGTTGCCCAAGGCCTTTATTCTTGCTGAGAATGTAAACAAATGTACACAGACCCTACCATAAAAAAAAGCTTTCCCTTAAGTGTTGTTTTTAAAAATTGTGTCTCACCCTTTGCTATTGCTCTAACAACTGTTCGAGACTTTTGTCTAGCTATGTGCTTAAAATTGTAACATCATTTCCTTCTCAAGGAATATAATATTGTCTGCCTCATTTAGGGCCTCCTGGATATAGCAACTAATGGAGATTTGTGGATTATTATTTGACTGTGACTCATTATCAAGGACTCCTACTCCTCCCCACTGCTGATTTTCTCTCTTGATTCTCTGTATTTCCAATAGATAATACACTACTGAATCATGAAATATCTCTGTAATCAATAGTTGCTCACTTCTAATGTATATTCTGTCTTTAAAGCTATTTTTCACATGCATTTTGGTACACTTGAGTTGTGTTCTTGCTTTTGTGTTAAATTATAAGACTTTCTGCCAGTCCAAAGGCACTGAGGTTTTTCTTGTTTTAGGCTTTTCTGTGTAGTGCTTTATAGTATTTTTTTTCCAGGTTAGCAAAGGGGCCCAGTTGCTTAAGGTATGCTGTCTAAAAAAGGAATCTGATAGTTGAAGAAAAGCAGATTGAGCATATTAGTTAAAATGAATTTATTCTATATACCTCAACTTTCTGACACTCTGTATTACTCCCATGTCAAAAATGACAAAACTTAAGTACCAGAGGAGTTCATCCAAGGTGGGAAATAGATGTCTAAATAATCATGGTACAAAGTAGTGGATGTCCTAATGGGATTAGGGATCATACGTTCTCGTAAATACTGAGAAGGGGTCACTAAATCTTTGTATAGGATTAAAGGAGAGGGAGAGAAGGTGGCTGGAAACATGTAAGGAAGGCTTTGCACACACAATACATTGGATTTGATTATTCATGGATGCCTGAGTCTGTCTTGGCTGCCAAGACAGAGGTCTGAGGGTTCTAGGTGGAAGGAACAGCATTGGCAAATGTAATTTCTATATTTGAAATTGCAGTTATTTTATTTTGAATTATAGTTGTTGTGCGTGACAGTGTTGTGAGTTGGTTGGGACTAGATGTCATCAGATGGCTAGGTCCAGCATCATGTCTCTGACACAAGAGAGAATTCAAAGATGAGATGTAGGTAAAGGTAAAAGCAGTGGAACAAGATTTGTGTGCATGCAAAGAGAAAGCACATAGACAAGAGGTAGTACAGCCACTCAGGAAGGTGAGCTACATTCTGTGAGGTTTGGGGTCATCTGTTTGTGAGATGTGCAGGCACAGGGGGTGTTGTCTAGCTTAGGGTTTAATAGGGGGAGGAGTTTGGAGTGGGACGTGAGTACCACCCACTTCCTTGCCCTTTTTTGGAAATCTAGGAAATATGGCATCAGGTGCATGATGGGAATAGAGGTGTCAGCTGAAGGCATTACAGTGATGCAGGCAGTAGCCACTCTGGTTATTTTTGGTGCTAGTTATGAGTGGAAAAAGTGTGGTTTTCTGAGGGTGTTGCTCAGAATGGGTTGGGCTGCTGGGAGGGGCTGATGACCTCACCTCCTCCTTGCTGGCTGTGTCCCTGCCTACATCAACAGAAGATTAGTGAGAAAAGTGGACAGAGTTTAAATTATGAAATCAATTTCTAGATCAATGGAAAGAGCTTCAATTGTTGTAAAATTATGGGAATTCAGTGATATTTAAGCTGTAGACTAACAATAATTATGAATTCAGCTTTGGGCAAGTGGAATAAGGGACAAATTTATTTTACCTAAAATAGGCAGTGAAACAAACAAAATACATATCACAGTTTCTCATGGTGGTAGACATCAGAAAAGGGAGAAATCCACTCTAAACCCTGAGCTTATCTCTACTAATGAAGCTTAAAATAAGACCCAAAGGAATGAAAATGTCTCCAGGAATCTTAACCATGTCCCAGAACAAAAACCAAGATTTTTTTTGAGATTTTAATTTACATTGTAGTCAAAGGCTAATGCTCCACTAAATAAACAAAGTAAAAAGACCAAGAATATTTATAATAATATAAAACTAATACTGCCTAATAAACATGTTAGTAATATATATTCAATAAGTTATCAAGCATAAAGAAAAGCAGAAAGTATACCCATAATGAGAAGACAAAAGTCAGCCAATTGAAATGGACTAAGAATTGACACAGATTTTAGAATTAGCAGACAAGAACATTAAAAGAAACCTTAAACTTTCATTTATGTTCAAAACAAAGTAAGTGGTGACACTCAAATATAAAAATGACCCAGGCTGGACTTCTTGAGATGAATACTATAATGTCTAAGATGAAAGACTGGAATGGAAATAAAAGTTAACAAGACATTGCAGAAAAAAAAAAAAAGATTTCTGAACTGAAACCATAATATAAACTGTCTAAAAACAAGCAAGCAGTAGGAAATAAAAAGACATTTCTGGCCACAAATGTTGTGTATTATTTTTTCTAGAACGTATAAATTGTAATTTTTTTTAGTGGCTAGTAATTCTTATAGTCTGATACCTGCTTATTTTGGTAAACTGCGGTCTTGCTGTTCTGAATGAGGTCCTGTAGGTGGTCTGTTTTCTGAGGTGATATGAAGAAGTAACTGGTATTTGAACTGGCCTCTTCCAGCCATGAGCAGATCAGAGCAGTGACTGCTACTTTTCTCATCTAAACCAAAAGTTGAAAGGTTGTTACTGAACATGTGTACCTGTACTTAGAATTTGAGTATAGTGTTCTCTCATGGTTATCCTCTAGGTATTATTTTTTTCCTTTTAGACTTTGAAACTATGAGCAGTTTTCTTTCATTTGTAAAACAAACACTTCATCTCTTTCCCCAATTCACAAATCTCAAAGTGGCAGATCAGGGACAAGATTTACATTGGAAATTATTATAAAGTCTTTAGCTCTTACTGAATAAGTAAAATCTATATATTGCTTTACTGACTTAAACTGGTCACCTATCACATGTGGGAAAATGATTTCATGTTTTTTCAAGGCAGGGAAAGCACTGATGGTGGATATATAAAAGAATAAAGTGCCGTACCCGATTCTAAGTTCTAAACATTTATAAAGATACAGTGATTGTCTTTAATATTTTATGTTTGCAGGTTTATATCCCTGGTTTTCCTCTATAATAGGAAATAGCCTTTGCAAATAACAAGGAAAATGTTGATTAAAAAGTTTATAAAAGTCAAGGCATTTAGTCAAAATAGAAGGAATTTTGATAATTGCTTGTAGTCTTTAAAAGAGAAATCAATTTTATTTTATTTGGTTTAGTGAATGGTGATGAAATCTTACATTTTCAGGTGTATATTGTGTTTTTTTTTTTTTTTTTTTTTTGACAGGCAGAGTGGACAGTGAGAGAGAGAGACAGAGAGAAAGGTCTTCCTTTGCCGTTGGTTCACCCTCCAATGGCCGCCGCCGTTGCGCTGCGGCCAGCGCACCGTGCTGATCCGATGGCAGGAGCCAGGTGCTTCTCCTGGTCTCCCATGGGGTGCAGGGCCCAAGCACTTGGGCCATCCTCCACTGCACTCCCTGGCCACAGCAGAGAGCTGGCCTGGAAGAGGGGCAACCGGGACAGAATCCGTCACCTCGACCAGGACTAGAACCCTGTGTGCTGGCGCCGCAAGGCAGAGGATTAGCCTACTGAGCCGCGGCGCCAGCCTATTGTGTTTTGCCTTTCAATTTAGTTTATATATTTTAAGTTTTTGCCCACTAATATATGAACACTTTTAGGGGAAAACTGCATCAAAATAATCAGTGTAACCTATATTATTTAAAAGGTATAATAAAAACACTAGCCATCTATCACATTGATCTGTTGTTGCATTTTCTGTTTAATCCAAAGTATAAGATCTTCACTTTGAGAAAGCTCCTCAATTTCCTAGAGTAATAATTATTAAATTATTACTACTACTAATTATTAAATATTCTATATAATACAGTTGAGAGAGATCATATCTTATTATAGAAAAATGAAGTACTCTTGAATAGAAAATAGACAAATTTCAAAACACATGCTTCTTCATTCTTTAAAGAATTTTCTCATTTTTTTAATTAGTTTTCCTTGGTTTAGAACATACAGCTGATCTTCTTTTTCTTGTTTCATTATCATACCAGATTGAGAAGGTGCTTGGAAATAAGAGGCCTGTACAACTCAGTGCATTATTATTGTACAGACTATTTCTCATTTTCTTTTTATTTCAATGTTCATTTTTGACTCTTTGGGTTAGCACTGCTTTTCTATTACTGATTCTTGGACTGGTTATAGAAAAAAGTGGCTAGATTTCTATGTATTTTTCAAAATTTAAAAGAATTTGAATCACTTATACGAGAAAAACTTTTTTTTTCATTAAGAAAAAGAAAACAGATTTTCTAATAGGTAGAAAATTGTTGAAGAAAATGGTTCCCTTCCTTCTGATATCGATATTCTTGAAGTGGAACCATTTCATTTTCACATCAAGCACTGATTTTTAGCAGCTAGCCCAGTTCATTACAGTTGGTGTTCACATGAGTAGTGGGGAGACACATTTTTTTAACCTAACACAGTAGGTCTTTGGCAGTTTTCCACCACTTTTGAGAAGAAGGGAAATCCACCCACACAGCTACGAATGTCTTTATTGTCGACTGCCAAGGCCAGATCATGTACCCTGAGGATGCTCAATAAATATTGATTGATGATGCTCTTCATCCAAGACACTCTCAGGTTAAAATTCAAGAGTGAGTGCTTAGCATTCTCATCCAGCTGTAATTACACTTTTGCAATTTCAATTTAGTTCTCAGTACTACTGTTTACAAAACTGTTCCAGTGTGAGGAAGCTCAACAAAAGTATATAAATAGTGGATAAGTAAATAAAGTAATTCTGAATGAGGTCAAATACCAGACACAGATATGTTTCTGAATGCAATCCCTTGTAAACATTATAACACAATCCATTTGTCATATTAATTCTTTTCCCTTGATATTGGGCACTTAAATATATAAGATATTGCAGTTATTATAATGTCTTCCTTGGATGATTCACAAATCTTTGATAAAAGTTGCCATTATGCTGATGTAAAGAATTAGATGGAACTCTTTTGGACAAGCATATGTGTTGTGCCACCTGCTGTGTGCACACACACCTTTGATATACAGCATAAGACTATTATCAGTTCCTTGCAAACTGTTTACCAACTATTGTATTCAGAGCATCAGTTTATTGATAATGTGAAAGAAGAACTAGATTGCTTCATCTCTGTGCATCTTAATTCTTTTTCTTTCAGTGACGTTTTAAGTTATATTTTCATGTCATAATTAGGGGGGAAATAATTCATGAAGAAAGCATCAGGGCTAGCGCCGCGGCTCAGTAGGCTAATCCTCCGCCGCTGCACTGGCACACTGGGTTCTAGTCCCGGTCGGGGCGCCGGATTCTGTCCCGGTTGCCCCTCTTCCAGGCCAGCTCTCTGCTGTAGCCAGGGAGTGCAGAGGAGGATGGCCCAAGTGCTTGGGCCCTGCACCAGTATGGGAGACCAGGATAAATACCTGGCTCCTGCCATCGGATCAGCCTCAGCATGTCGGCCCCGGCGGCCATTGGAGGGTGAACCAACGGCAAAGGAAGACCTTTCTCTCTGTCTGTCTCTCTCTCACTGTCCACTCTGCCTGTCCAAAATAACAAAAAACAGTGATCACACTAGTCTAATGTAGTGTTGACTAAACAATTTTTTTTTTTTACATTTTGAATGTAATTTGGTAGCTAAAGTTTCCTTTTTAAATTGTTCATTTATTTATATGAGAGACATGAGGGGGAGAGAGACAGCCAAACTCTATCCAGCGATTCATTCATCAGCTGCCTGCAGTAGCTGGGTTAGGCCAAGCTAAAGCCAGGAATCAGGGCTTCAATTCATGAGGTTGGCAACTACCTGAGCCATCAGTTTCTGCCTCCCAGGGTGTTCATTAGCAGGAAGCTGAAACAGGAAACAGAGCCAGGTATTGAACCCAGGGATTCTGATGCGGGATGTGGGCATTCTAACTGGTGTCTTAGTGCTATAAATGCCTGCCCCATGATAGCTAAGATTTTAATGAATTTTAAAGATGCAAACTGAGGCCAGATATTATTAAATATTATTTCCTCCAGTCTGTACAGCTATTTGAGAAATTTGTGAATTATTTTGTTTCCTTCTAAATTTTAACTTATAGTAATAATGTCAATTTATTGTAAAAACTTTTTTAAAAATTTTATTTGACAGGGAGAGAGGGAGAGGGGAAGAGAGAGTGAGCGAGCATCCACGGTTCAGTGCCCATATTCCCACAGCAGCCAGGGCTGAGGGTGAAGCCAGGAGCCTGTACCTCCATCCAGGTCTTTCATGTGTGTGGTAGGGACCCAGCTATTTGAGCCATCACCTGCTGCCTTCCAGGGTCTTCATTAGGAGTCATACGCTGGACTGGAATAGAAGAGAGGAGGAAGGAAGTGATAGGGAGAGAGTGAGAGAAGGGGGGGAAGAGAACCTCCCAAAGTCACACTTTATATTATTTTATTTTGGAAATGTCATCACCTGTGACATGTTTGCTAGAAGTCACCAAGTGTAGCCCACAGCCAAGGGAAGTAGAATTATGCTCCACAAACTGTTGATGGGAAGAGTACCTTAAATTTCCGCATGTGTTTTCAAACCTGATTTAGCACTTAATAATGGTAAAATTATAATTTTGGCTACAAGCCCTTTTTATTTCATTTCCTAGCCCCCAAAAGGAAGCTGGATATCATTTAAAATAACCACACAACCAAATGAATTTCTGAAATTTATATAGTAGCATAAAAATATCTGAGAGATTGCTAGCTTATATATGGCAGATAATGTCTAATATCGGCACCTAAAATTTCAGCCTGTGGACCCTGATGCCCAGGCATGAGATGTATTGAATCATTTAATGGTTGTATGAATTGGTTCTTCACGTGAGCTCCATCACCACCAAATAGCTTGTTACTTTGAGGGTTCCATAATAGTCTGAATACTTAGTGTGAGACCCCTGATCCCTAAAATCTTAATGCCAAAATTCCAGATGTTTTCAATCTCTAAACTGCCAGGGTGTTACTGGGAACATAAGGTAAATGCCTTGGAGCAAAACAGTAATGTGTTTTTAATGAAGAGGGCTTTCTGTGTTGCTGAAATCTGAATCAAGAGTTTTGGCCTCTTGCAATCGCCTTTGCATACCACTCTTTGTAATGAAACATATGGCTCACATCATGGTGAAATATGTAGAGTAGAAAGAAGAAAGAACACACTCCACATGTGTCATGTCTAATGTAGGGCCATGTGTACACACCAGTGGGACTAAGACCCACCTTCAGTCCTGACATAATTAGAGCAGTAGAGTGCCCTTAGTTTGTTTTAAATACTGCAAATGGTTTCACATTTTCAAGTCATTAACACTCCTTTCATTTTGATATTTGCATTTCATTATTAAGAAACTATCCCTCAGTAATTTCTAATGAACTCTTGAAACTGATACTCAGAAATCATTAGCATTCTGAAAATAAATTATCAGTGCAGAATTATCTGGCCTTGAATTTCCCATAGTCAGATAAAAGAAGGATTTTAGAGAAAGAAAATGTATTTTGTGGCTTTTCATGAAGTGCCTTTTTGCTGTGGTCTTGTTTCTCAGTGGGACTCTGTCATTTGATATGAGA